GGATCTTCCACTTAAAAACATACGAATTTAAAGTGGAAACCGACTTCACACTTCAAACTTTGCATCAATAACCATAAGCCAAACAAAGCTATGAATCTTACAACATGCGACTCTTTAAAAAAGTGACCTTTTTAGATATTGTAGCTAGGGGAAAAAGGCGGCTCCGGGAGCTTTCCGGAGCTTGAGATGCTTGGCATCGGATGCTCTCCGATGCTATGCGATGCTGACTCCGATGCTGGGCGATGCTTGGCATCGGATACTCTCCGATGCTAAGAAAGAAAAAGTCGCCTTTTTCTCCTTTGTATTGTATTTTGTCATGAGAACAAAATTCGAGCGAAAACAGTGTTAAGGCGACCTGTGTAGATACTATGGCTACCCGATTGGTTTTCTACCTTATTTTGGGCAGTCTCTTGTCAAAAGCTTTACCAACTTTAATATTGAAAGAGGACAGGTCACTATGTATTATGCTAAAATTTTACATTAACGCCGTTGTAGACTGTTTCAATTTTTCTCTAGAAAGTTCGTAAGTATCATAATTTCGGAATATTCCGAATTTAAGACAAGAAGGTTATCAGACAGGTCACAACTGAGGTGACAGAACCTGAAGCTTCGACCTTGTCGTTGTAGATTCCTTCGTCAAAGAACATGGGTGCCAGCAGCTCCTCAGGAGAACAAGCTCGAAACTACGACGACAAAATTTTTGGCCCAAACGGTGAGGATGGGGGTAAACTGTCGGGACCGCGACGAGATCTTTGCAGCATACAACGTAATTCACCACGCTGATTCCGAATATGTAAATATCTCGAGGGTTGCTTCTCTAGAAATATTCGGTCAGATTTTGATATACACCCTAGTGAAGCTTTTCGTCTCAAACACATACCTCAAGATTTGTCTCCATGCACATGAATTTCTTACTAATGCAAAACGCTTGAGGTATGTACTTGACTTTCTTGTCTCATGCGCTTGAGTTGCTTGAAGTACCCGTATGATTGGAGAAATATCTAAAACAATGTGCAAGTCTCAAGAAACCCAAGCACATACCTCAAGAAACGCCTGTGCATATCTGACGAAACTCATGTGCATACCTTAAGAAAGTCATGCATTATCGATTTTTCACTTTGTAAACAGCTTTAACTTCGTTTTTTAGACTCGATTACAAGTGATCAAAAGGGTTTATCTAAGTATAAAAGAAGACCGATGAGTTTTTAAACGTTAGTCATCAATATTGAGTCATCTCTTAAAAACTAAAAGGGTTTTCTTTCTGAAAAATACATCAATGTGTAATTCAACTTGTGTACTTCAAACCACCATAAAACTTGGAAATAGATCTGTTGTGGAGAAAGTACAGAATTAGCGAATTTGTAGAATCGCCGGTGAATCTATAGAATCGCTGGCGAATCTACAGAATCATCAAATTTTTAGCGATTCTACAGATTCGCCAGTGATTCTATAGATTCCCTAATAAGTAAGGAGAAAGTATAGAATGGGGTTTTGAAGTTCGCTAGAGAATGTACAGAATTTGCAAATACTATATTTTAGATCTTTTTCCTACAGAAAAACTAGTCAGACAATCATAAATTCTTTATAAAAAGCAGAAACAAAGCTAAAGCCCAATAGAATGACCGTCACAGAAAACAGTAAAAGCATGCGAGTTAAAAGTCGCAGAAAATATTGAGAACTACGAGTTCAGTACGAATCAATCGTTTTGTTTATTCGTACATCGTTTATTTTTTGTATGACATCGAGAGTTACACAACATCTCCGCCTTTTTACATCTACATCGATTTGTGGAACAATCGGCATTACAGCTACAGTGAACGATACCTTGGCCACCAACCAATGATTCATTTGCTACTATCGAACGAAGAGGTAATTGAGTTTTATTGATATCGTCGACTGTTAAAAGCTTTTCACATTTTTCTAAATCTTATCGATTTATCTTTGTATTCAATGTACCGACATCCAACTACATAGTTTCTGTGGGAATCAGTATCGACTATTACTCCTAAATGTTACAAACTCTAATGGTAATCTTATGTTTCTGTAATCTCTCTCATTTTGAAAGATTGGAATTGATTTCGATAGACTACAACAAGATATTCCTTTTAAAGCTCTCATATAGAACACTTAATTTTCTGAGTCTTAAAAAGAGAGAATGGTTCATGCGATCTGGGTGCCCCAAATGGATTGTTTTTGTTGATGAATAATTCTGTTTTGTAAAATTAAAATAAGAAAAATAATAGCTTACGAAGTAGTAGGAGATGAGTTAGACTTTTAAATTGACTGACTTTAATGAGACCTGAATCATTAATACAAAAAGCTTACCAATTATGGAGCTCGGATCAGCTCGACTTTGATCAACTGCTGGTGCTCGTAAGCGAATCGAATTCCTATACAAATATACGTAGTAGAAGGGATTAGTCGTACTGACAGACTCTTGTTACTAAAATCCATAACCAAACAGGGCGAAGATATAGGCACATCCTATCAAGTCAACATATTTTTCAGTTTGGTAGAGCTGTTTAGCTCAAGAAATAAGAATCATTTCAATCTGTACTGGATAAAATTAAAAGAATCTTTACGGCCCCGCACTAGTCAAAAATCTTACAATCCGGTAGAAATGACAGTTTTCAGGTGAGATAATAAGTGTTGTTGAGTAGAAGGAGGCCTTGGAGAAGAGTTCAGCTATAGTTGAGAGAAAAAGAAAGAAATCGTAGTATTTCACATCAGTATGATAGGACGTGTTCTTTTGATGCATCACAGAACGAAGGCCGGATGACTATTTCGTTGTACCGTTCTCTCTCATCCAAATAATCAGCTTCTTCTCCACATTTTCATTCGATTTCTTAACCGAGTTCTGAGACTCGGAATGTCTCGGACGCCCGTGCACGATCGATAATCCCGGCCACATATGTTTGATTTCATCGACTATCTGATTATAGAATTCGCGATCATTTTACTATATTTACCATAATGCTATTTTATTCTTGATTTTTATAAATGATCTTACATCTGTGGCGTCCTCGGTAGCTATATATAGCCTGTTTGTAGACGACCATTAGCGCAAAATCGACTTTTTATACGGGGAACAGAATCGGCCCAAATTTTTTTCTGAGGAGCTTATTATGTGAATCGACAGGCAGCAAAGTATCTCTTGATTCAAATAACTTTTTACATTTTGGCGCGAATAGTGGCGCCACAAAAAATTTGGACCGATTCTGTTCCCCGTATAAAAAGTCGGTTTTGCGCTAATGCTATATGTTGTTTTACACTTTTCTCTCACTGATATGACTCCATTTGTAGAGAAGTCTGTACAAAAAGAGATAGATAACGTTCTTTCCTGGTGTTTGAAAAACGAGATGAGTCTCAGTGGCAAGAAGTGCTTCTACACCTATTTCACGTTTTGTGAATCTACTTTACGTCAACTCTCCTTATTTGTTAATGATAAAGTCCTCGATTCCGAAAATCATCCTAAACTATTGGGATTACGCCTATCGTATAATCTCACCTGGATAACTCACATTAATGAAATGGCGCTGGCCTGTAGAAGGATGATTGGGGCCCTTAATAGAACATTCTCTAGTTCGTGGAAGAAAATTCGTCTTATTATTCATATGTGTTGCATTCTATCTAAAATCGACTACAGTAGTGCAATTTTTGACTCGGATTTCTCTACTCATCTTGAGCCATTAAACCGAGTGCAAAGATTAGCTGCGAGAATCATTAGCCAAACCTTTAACTATTTTCATGACAGTAGTGAGGGTGTATCCACGCTATTGCTTCCAAATCTTAGTGTATGTCGGCAGTATTTTCGACTGGCGTCATTTTTTCGTATTATTAATAATCGTACTTTACTTGATTCTTCCAGTACAATTTCTTCTGTAACTGCAAGACATTCTCAACGCTTAAACCATAATCGTTCTGTCATCTGTCCATTCGCTTGCTATACTACAGTTCAGTCGTCATTTTTCTATAAAACTCCGATGGAGTGGAATTCTCTGCCAATTTCACTCGTGAACTGTCAATCTTTGAGACTATTTAAAAAACTACTGTATCAACATTTACAACATACTGTTAATTGATTATATTTTACTGTGCCTGTGTTCATCATTTTTCTGTTTTCTACCTTTTATATCTGTGTGTTTTTGGTTTGTTTCTTTTTCTTTTTTTTGTTGATATTCGTGCACTTTGCGTTAGACAGGGCAGGAGTCAATAGGGTTACATTATACTTCTACTGACTAGCTTTATAGTTATTTTTTTCATGTCCTTCCATTTTTGGTAATAAAGTCAGTCATATAGATCGTACACTTTTTGTGTATTTAACGTAGGCGACTTGCTAACGGATACCACAGAAGGGTACCGAAAAGCAACTTCAGCACAAACAAGAACTATAGAAATTAAGCAAGTAATTTGTGATAATACACTGTCAATTTTGATGCAAGATCCCGTTCAAATAGACTTATGGAATTTGTTCCTGCCTGTTCAAATAAAACTCATTCCGGCAAAAATCGCCGTTGCTATATACAGTGACTTGTTATTTCCACAGTCACTAAAGTTGTTTGACACGCAGTTCGATGCATCACAGGAAGAGCAAAAACTCAATGAATTTGAATTAAAAATTCTCCAATATCCATCGAACACATTCACGAAAGATATGATCACGTCAATGGCAGTGTTTCATAGTACGTTGACTAAGTGACATTAGATCCTAGTAGATATTTGCAACCATAGTCCTGATAAAACCCTAGAAAGCTGAGTAGAATAAAATTCAGAATGTTTTACCAATATAGAAAAGTATACAATCTCAACGAAATGTTCGTCCATTGTGTCGTAGATTTTTTCTGTATTTTCTTCTAAGTCTACAAGGTTTAATTTTGAAAATTATAAATCATAAACGTGATAACATCGACGTGAAGGAAACATTAAACAGTTTGGTGAAAAAGAAAATTTTAGAAAATGGAAAATATTTGAAAACCGTTGTGAGACCTGTAGAAGGTTGGATGAAGCGTCTTCCATTTCCAGATGAGATCGAACAATTTCTTGCATTTCAAAAACAATTGAAAGTTTGTTTCGGTTTAACCATGGAAGAATATGTCAGATCATTCGAAGATAATCAGAGTTATCCAAGTCATCTGACAGACTCAACTGGGAGAAAAAAATTTACAGATTAGAATGTTGTTGTTGCCGTTAGTACAAGCCAAATTACATATGATGATGATAAATGAAAGTTTTCAGCCAAGTAAGTAACCTTTTTGGCGTAAACCAAGTGCTAAAGCTTCTTCTTTTCTACAAATAGTGAGCAAACCGATAGCGATAATCACTAATGCTTTCACTACAGGGATCCATCTTTCGATTTGAACACTATTTGAGTCGAAGATAGTATTCAAACACGTAAGTTTCATTTGCCTCGAAGTTGAATAAATAAAACTTCTTACTCTTTCTCAATTAGAAAACGAATCGTCAGCTATTCTCAAAAGTGCTCCAATGGCGGATGAAAGCATTCTTGATTCTAACGGTTTAATACTAAACGATAATCTTTCGCTATGTAAGTGACGTTTGTCCCGAACTCCAACAGGTAAACATTTCCCTTTTTTCGTGAATAGAAACTGAACCTTCGGTTATTCTTGAAAATGCTCCAGTGATGATGATACATTCGCTAGAACATGACAATGCTATGCTGAATGTATTTAGTAGTGGTAATTCAGCAGCTACTGCAATGAACATAACTAATAATTGACGCGATTTTACTGTTGAGATGGTAAATGAAACGATGACAGATGACTTGGACATTGAGTTGGATGCACAAGATGACGGTAGGCTATTGCTTTAACGGCTAACATCTGTATAATTAGTTTGAATTGTATCAGAATACGTCAGAATACTGCGTTTTCTGAACCAAAAGTACCAGTTTCCGATAATATTGTGAATTTGCGCGATGTCACAGCGATTTTTCTAAATGAAGCGAATCGTATTACTAATCAGAGCTTGAATATGAATACAAGCTCACCAGGGCTAGGTATGAGTAAAGGAAAAGTACATTCTAGTTAAATTTAACATTTTTAATATAATAGATTCTACCTCTCAAATCTGCACTCGTGTTTTAATTGAGATGAAAACACTCTGTGGGAAGATTCTACTGATTAAGTCGGTCATACTGTCGTCAACAAAATTAAAAAAAGTTATATCACCTCACATAATGGCAGATGTCCATAAAGGTTGTCGTCCTCTAATTGATTATAAATTATTGCATTAAGAAATGATTTGTTAGCAAACAACGGAAATTATTTTCAAGCATATTTAAAATTGGCTCCACACTCAGATGAATGATTTAACTAGAATGTTCATTCTGAGTTGTTTCAAGATATAATAGAGCTCGTAGAAAGTTCCTATGAAACGAAAACTATGTAGGACTGTCATTTTTGTTCTAGCAGTAGAGGCCCTTGATTTCGAGATATCATTGAAATTTTTCGGCATCACGGATATATCATCATATTATGCGTCATTTCAAGATGAGGATAGAAAAAAGTCAACATATATTACGCATGAAACTCTTCAAGTATTGAAAGATGAACATTACCTAATATCAAAAAGCGAAGAGTATTCTAAATATGTCAACACAATCAATGAATCTCTAATCAAAACGCCGAAAACAAATAGGTTAAAAAAATTCGAAAAAGAAAGTGATTTAACATGTAAGCAACACTTTTAAGTAAAAACGTTTCTGAGGGGCTGATAACCACTAAGTAGGCAGGACAGCCTGCGACTTACAGATTTAGTTTTAAATTCACCGTTTTCTTATCTATAGTTTTTTCCTGAGGTAGAATTAAAATGAAATCAAATTGTATAATTTTTATTTTTGTTCATTGGACTTAATTTTCATGGTTAAGAGTAAGTTTTTCAAATGAAATATTCTCGGTAAACTCGTTCTTTGAGGCTTTATATGGAACCTCAGATGAATTCAGGTCTTTTTCAACATAATTTCTTCGCAAATTGTTCCAACAACCTGATACGTAGCGCACCGAACAGATGTAAAATGAACTCATACAAAGTTGCAAAAAAGGCGTATGAAAAAGATAAAATGTTTAAATTTCGAAGGACTCAACGTCGGACTCATCAATTTATTGACCAATTAGTTTTTAACCCATTAATTTTTACTTATCATAGCTGGTCAAGACGATAATGGATCAAATTCACAAGGTTGTTCTACTCGTGACCAAAGTCAGCGTTTAGTCATAGCACCAAATACGACTGTTAACATGCGTACAAGAAACTCGGCTCGAAGAGCTCAAGAATGTGAAAACAATAAATAATTCAAAGCTTAGAGATCAATCCTTCAGTTTGATTTTTCGATAGTGTATTTTGTTTTTTTGAAGTTACAGTACAAAACAAAAGAAAAACATAATAAAGTAAGAAAAAGGTAAGCTTTTGACTTTTGATGCAGCTTTGCATAAAAACTCAGTCTCGTCAGGGAAACATTTAGAGTTTAACCATTTAGACTTGTGCGTAACTTTGAATGCTCTATCGAATGAGGCTATAAAATAATCAGGTTATTTTTCGACAAGGTTATGCACTATCTTATGCATGACTGGCATTTTTACGGATCTTCTCTTAATATCTCTTTTCAAACAGATGATTTATTAAAAATGAACAAAAAAAAACTTTTTTCAAAAGTTTTTGGGTATTTGAATTGAAAATCCTAGTTTTTCTCATCGCTGGTCTCAGGAAGAGTTTTAGAAAAACAGCTTCTACTATGAAAACGAACATGTAAAGCATTGCTTTTTTCATTTTAACTTAGAACTTAGATCAGTTTCTACATATCTTTTGAAAATTTTATTTGGCTGTTTGTCAGACTTTTTAGTTATGCAAAGCTTTTCTGTTTCATGTAGCAGATCATGACTTTTTTTCTGTTTACTGTGTGTAATATTGTTCAATTGCATTCTTTTGTGGTTTTTGTTTTTTGTTAATAAATAAAAGTGAAATGGTAATAAAAATTTTGGACTTTTATTATTATACTGAAATATTGAGATGATCGTTTGGCAGCTAAAAGTCTATCTAAAGAATTAAGTGACTGCTCTTAACTTAACATAAACGATTCTTGGATATAGCTTTCTCAACTATTGTTTTGTCTAAAAAGTCATTTGAAGAGACTTTCTCATGTCAATGGACTAGATAGTTGATGTCTTTGCATTTTATGTGTACGTTAATAGAAAATCATGTTTTAGTCTTTATGATTTGTTCTTCAGAACAGCAGAAATTTGCTTTCGAGGTAGGAGTAAAGTTAGAAACAATCAAAGAATTACCACGCTCGCAATATTTTTATGGATTATGATTTGCAGCTTATTCGAAATCATCGAAAAATAACTTAGAGTATAATAATCACTACGTTGAAATTTCTATTTATCCACCTCACTTCAAATTTATAAATAACGTCTTTTGTTCATATCTTAAGATGTCTGCTAACACCAGTCATTACGTTATCAATGAAAAAGAGATGTACATATTGTCTTTAAATCGGAAAATTGCACTTAGAGAGCTAAATCTAATGTATTGCTTGGATCATACGTTAGACAATTGTGTTTCAACAAAATACGCAGATATATGCAATATTATTGAATTGGTTTATGGTATTAGATATGATTGTGATTTAGTGCAAACAATATTAAATTTGTTAAAGCTTGAACCGACGTCATTTCCTCTATTTCATTTGGAAAATATCAAAGAAATAATAAACTATTATTCCAACAACATTCATTTTCTCAAACAAGCATCATTGCACACGATAAAACCATTTACATCAGTTTGCTTTCTCTGTCGTCAGGTGTTGAAAATATCATTTAAGGAGAAGGTTAATGTAGTTACGAGTGATCGTGTTGAAAACGGCGTAGTCTATTCTTCCCATTGTTGCCACATTGACTATTTACGCTAACAGTTTCGTAAGAGGATCCGGTTGTTTTGTTATTCCAAATTCGTTATACCTCTGTAAATACATACATTTTGGTGAAAAAAACGTTTATACTATCGAACTACTTCTCCGCTACGTATCTGAATTAACATCCATGTCCGCTTTCGAGAATTTTTGTACAGCATAGAATGAAATCATTCAATCGATGTTATTGGAACAACATGATTACGACATCTCGAAAATAAAAGATCAAATAATGCTAGATCGTCGCGTGTTTCAAAATACATGGCTAATATATAATACTGCTCTATTCACCTTTTTCACTTCGAAAAAAACGGAATTAGAAATACCACTTAATATCAGCAGCAAAGAACAACGAAATGACTATTTCAATAAAAACTTGTCATATTGGGAAAGAACCTTCACTGCATATTGGACGAATCATTACAATATCAGTAATTGCAGAAATCTTTGTTCCTCAGCTCTCGTACTTGATGGATTTCAAAAACCAGATCGTTTCATCTGCAAATTTACGGAAGAAACGATAACATCACCCAAATTATCGACAAAAACGTACTTCTCAAACAGTTTTCCTAGCTCAATGCAGTATTCCAGGTAAAATACAATGGGGATGCGGTATTCGTCCGGAGATGGTACGCGATGCTGATAATCCTGGATATGGGGTTATAGTTCTTATTGTCCTATTCATCTCCATTTGAAAAACCCTAAGCAGCCACAAGTATTAGATGATGCAGAATATGATGACATCGATTGTAATATGTCTCATTATAGATAAGGATCATTGGCCCCCAAATAGTTCGGATTTGAACCCTTTGGACTATTCCATTTGGGATGAATTTGTTCACGTTATCAATTGGGACAAAGTAAAATCAAAAGCAACCCTAATTCAAGAACTAAAACGTGCAGTAAAAAACATTCGAGAAGAAGTTGTATTTGAAAGTTGTAACAGTTGGACAAATCGTTTGTATCGTTTGTCAACAAATGATTTCGGTTATTTACGTTAATAAAACCAGATAGTTTTGTAGAGAATTGAAAACTGAGTCTTTTAAAACAAAATTCAACCCGAAAGGATAAGAATCCAAAAAGATATTGAGAAAATACTAAGAGGGTCATTCTTTATGGGACACCCGTTAGATAGAACCTTTCAAGGATTCGGAGACTGAGTTCCATTTCAGAACCTTTTTAAGGTACAAAACTGGTTCAGTACAAAAGCCTCCAACTTTTCTAATAAAGGTTTCAGCATAGCAAAAAGAGTGTAACAGTGAACCTCTGTTTGAAAAAAGGTTCAGCATAAATCCATTTTTTTTCGTTCCTCTCAAACATAACCGTGAATAATATTTCACCTTCTTTACTTTATTTATTAGAAAAGTAATAATTCGAAATACCCATATATCTACATATGTTTATATATATATCCATCACTATAAATAGAACGTAAAGTGCTTTGGCTTCCGATTTGAAGAGGACACTTTGTATTATTTACTTATGAATAAAAGCCAATATATTGCTATGCAAAGGTTTCCAGTTGTAGAATGAATTTCAAACGATCCTCTAGAAACCTGCTTCTGAAAAATGGATAGTAGTTGCTGGTGAAGTCTTGTAAATCTTTGTTTTATGCTGTGAAGCTGTGCAATGTTCTATTTGAAGCTGTCTCGCTCTTTATTACAGCGTAAAGCTGATGTTGTTTTTTGAAGAAAACTCACTTGAACGTTGAAAGAATCGTTTTAGAAAAAACAATATAAAATGAAAATTTAAATATTCAAAATTTCAAAACCCCGATCGGATAATTTAGTTTTTCGCAACACTTTCACAGTGAGTAGCGGTCATTCAGAAGATATTTTTCCGCCAATTTCCTTCACCGGCAAAGCCAGGGGACAGAGATAGAATCATTCTACCGGAAATAGTATTTCTGGAAAGTCGATACTTTTTAATTTGCCCATCCATTTCCAGATAGACGTGGTTCTTGGAATACTCCAAATAGGTCTGCAGATAGAACTACATAACATTCAATCGAATGATATGTGACGAAACACTTTATCTTTGCACGAAGGAAAAGACATCTGTTAATTAATAAATTAATTCATTCTTTCGCTCATGTTCGTTCGTAGATGCACCAGATTTTGATTCAAATAAGTTTAATGAACGAATTGAACATTTTAACGTTTCATAGTACTGTTTCAAAACCGTCCGCTGAATAAGAGTCATTTCTGCGATGAACAGTTAAGAACACATTTTAAATAGTGTTAAAACATCTCATCATCATATAATTACTTTTTTTGTTTTATTGATAAAAAGTAATTATTTTGTGCGTCGTT